TTTTCTAAAGATTAGGGCAATAAGCAACCTAAGGTTCTCTGATCTTCAAAGGAAACTATAAATAATGACTACAAGGTCACTGAAAAAAAATTAGTAGAAGCATCAAAAAGCCAGTGGATGCTTTATCTAACTGATACTTGATGTTTTCTAAAATTCAAGGAAGTAAAACTTTTTTAAATGACTTTTATTTTTAAAAAGAAATGCAGAACAGGCTTATGTCTAACTTAAACCAAACTAAAGGTAGCATTAGCTACTTCCAGGGAATAAAAGGAAGACAGTGACTAACTGTATACATTTTATTTTAAATTTTATGCTATGAGAGAATAAACATTTTTTTGCTATGTCACTTTTTTAAAAAAAAATATTTATTCATGAGAGAGAGAGAGAGAAAGACAGAGAGGGGCAGAGACACAGGCAGAGGGAGAAGCAGGCTCCATGCAGGGAGCCTAATGTGGGACTCGATCCTGGGACTCTGAGATCATGCCCTGGGCCGAAGGCAGGTGCTAAACCGCTGAGCCACCCAGGGATCCTCTGCTATGTCACTTATATGTATAATAATAGTAGCTTACCATTTATCGAGTACCTGGCATTGTATTAAGTGCATGTATTGTATTAAGTCTACCTGGCAGAATGATTAAGAGCGTGCGCTCTGGAGTTAGACTGAGTTTAAATGCTGATCATTTACTATCTGTGTGATCTTGAGAACATTACTGAACTTCTCTGTGCCTGTTTATTCATTTGAAAAATGGTGGTAATAATAGTGTCAGTATCACAGGATTCTTTGAGCACCAAATGTGTAGCATATCATTAGTACTCAATAGATAGTAGCAATTATTAGTATCCAATTTAAGGCATGTACGTAATTTAATGACACCTCATTTCCCTCCAGATTTTGTAGGTGGGAATAAGAGATACAAAAGGCTAAGTTACTTAATCAAAGTTAACTCAGTTCTGTTAAACTCTTAAGATATACTTTTAACAACTACAGTCTATTACAAATATGCTGGGGATCACAAATTCTTTTTTGGACTTGGACAAAGTATAAACAAATAAGTTATATACATCTGAAATTAGCCAATAAAAAGCCATTAGGTTGCCATCACAATTGCCAAAATCACTTCTGGTGGGCTCCCAGGAGATAAGATTCCATTCCACGGGCATTTCTAGTTCACATTCTCAATCAATCATAGGAAGAACAAAAAAAAACAGGAAGTGCATTTGGAAACCTAGCAGTTAAACAATAAAAATGCTCTGAGTATCTATAAGTATCACTGTCTGTAGTTAATTCCACCTTCCCTCCATTTTTCTTGGTAGGGGCAACTGTTATATATGTCTACAAGAGATAGATGTTGTTGCACTATAAATGCATGTTCTACAGTTGGGCTTTGCAATTAAGAAGTTTGGTTTCTGAGGGCAAATCTGTGTGGGAGTGGGTTCTTAAATTTAGAGCCAGGATTATGTCTTTGACTACTTGGTACAATGCTGGGTATGCTGTCAGAGTACAGAACATAATAAAAAAATAACCACAATAAATGTGCTTGGGAACGGGTAGAGAAGTTGCCTAGATTGATGGATCTCATTTGCTGTCTTATATTACTCAACTCCAATGGAAATTACAATTTGCTTGTAAAGATATCTCATTTATTTAACTTCAAGTTGAAAATTTTTTCTTTCCCTTTTAGTTATATGTGTTTATCTAGTTTGTTTTTCTTTCTTAAACATAATATTCCTTTGAGAAGGAGTTAAAAGATTTAGCTTTGCTGGAAGCATGCCAAATACAAAAACCACTATCATCAATTTTCTTTCCAATAAAAGAAGATGCTCAGAGTGGTAGACTTAAATTCCCAGTCTAACCTCACAGTGTTGATGAGATTTTCAAATGCTACTAAATGGAGCAGCGTCTATACCAGGAAGAAATGAATTTTTATTGGTGACAAGAGTGAAAATTAAACCACTGTATATGGTGATAACTGAACAAGAAGGAAAACGAAGTTTAAAATCAAAACAAAATGGCATTATTTAAGGGCATGTCTCCATAAAATGAAGAATTGTGGCCCTTTTCAGAATATGTCAAGAGAAAAAGAAACGGTCCATGTACTTCTCCACTTCTGAATGCGTGTCTTTGAGGAGTTTGAGAACTACTGGAAAAGTATTAAGAGGCAACTCAAATAGTTGTTTCACTCAGTTTGTCTTAAGTAAGGAAAATTCTGCCTATAGACATGAGCACAAAATTTTTGTACACTTCAGGAAGGTTAAGAGACCCCTTAAAGCCCATCTGTGGATCCAGGGATCCAGGTTAAGAACCACAAGAGTCTTAGGAGCATACTATATGCTTCATAGGGTGCAGATCAGAACCCTGGCCAAGCCAAACCAGCAGTCCAACTGCGATAGAAATGTTACAAATGTTTACCACATTATACATTTACTATAGGTTTCTAAGTGCTTTTTTGTATATGAGTTATTTGACATATTAGCCCAGTAGACATTTAGATGCTCGATTAGATAGATTAGGTAAGCAAAGCGGTAATATTAAATAACTATTCTGCCCTGTGTTGCTTGCCAAATGTCTGATATTCTATTGGAATTAGATTCTGTACAAATAAAAACGTTCCTTCATGAAACATAAATATCTTTGGCTGGTGAACATTGAAGTGCTCAGTCTCTAATACCTTAGAATGGGTATTTATTAAGTCTTTGCAATGAGAAACAAAATACTTAAGTTTTGAAGATGTTAGGATAGATACCTAGATCAACATTCTCAAAGTTTTATCTGAGAACCCTGGGGAGGTACATGAGAGCCTCCTTTTGCCAATTATATAGCTGTGAGTCTGAATTTTTCTCATATACTTCAACCAAAACAACATATTGCAACAGATTGGATGCAGAAGCAAACATGAAAATCCAGCTGTCTTCTATTAAGCCAGATATCAAGGAGATTTAAGAAGATGGAAAGAATGCCACACTTTTCATCAATTTTTTGTTTTGTTTTGTTTTGGAAAACAGTTAACTTGTAACAAATTTTTTATTTTACATAAATTTACAAACATTTTCAAATTTTAATTTATAAATGGTAAATATCCCTAGATATGACCTACATAAACCAAAGCTCTTTGGGGTGCTCACCAAATTTAAAGTGCTTTCAAATGGACCCTAAGACCAGTTTGAGAACTTGGTAAGTCCCAGAAGACAGGTCTGGGTGGATGACCAAGTGCAGAGGTGGGAGGGATGTGAATGCATCTGTCAAGGGACTGATGACACTGTGTGTCATGTCTTGGGGATACTGCTCCTTGAATGGCACTGAAAGTGGAGGGGAAGATGCAGTCTAGGCTTTCTTCCTGTTGTTTGTGGCCTGTCCTAAGCACAGTCATCATGCCTGCACAATTTCTAGAAAGAGATCTGAAGAAACAAGAAAATAGAGTCTAGGACCGTAAAACCGGGTAAGAACTGCAGGTTTAATGAAAAACAATGAAGCTGCCCCTTTTTCACCAATGAGAAGGGAAAACATTGTTCGAGTTTGGTTGTTTTTTGTTTTTTTCTTTATGTCAGCTGACACAAAATTCACTAATTATTGGATGTTCTATTGTTTTTAAATAAACTTTTAATACTTTGAAATACCAATTCTTGGGGGGAAAAATCTATAAAGGGTATACAGATCGGTATGGGATAGCCTAATGTGCCTTCCAAAAGGTATATCTTAAAATTTAACATTTACCTATTAATGCGCTAAGCATTGTGCTACAGAGTTAACTGTGATATAGGGGAAACATTCTTGAACTTGGAATGAGAAAAATCGTTTCGAACCGCTTATTTGCTATATCATTACGGGTAATTTAACCTGAGTCTCATTTTCTTATTTATAAAATGCGGATGATAATGTTTATCTCACAAGGTTGTTAGGGATTAGAAAGACAGAGCTTAGGTCAATGGGACAGCACTGAAGGTCTTCAACGAATAGCCAAGAGAGTGCGCGTCAAGGCCAGTGATAAATGCAGCGAGGAAGATAAGACGCGTAGACAACGCTTCAAAAAACACGCGGCGGAAGGTCGGGCGTGCGGGCGTCCCTACAGAAGTATTTAGAAAGTGCTACGGGGCGCTAAAGGAAGGAGTCGCCGCACTTGCGGCGATCGGGGAAGGTGCTTAGGGAAGTCAGGCTGTTGCAGAAAGACGCCCCCCCTCCTCCGGCCGCGCACCCGGGCCGAGTTCCCGCAGCCCCGCGCCCCCAGCCGGCCCCGGGATGTCAAGCCGCCTCCCGCCGCCTTCGCCCCAGCCTGGAAGCGCACCGCACGCCAGCCCTGCCGGCCTCGCGCGGGCACCTCGAGCCTGGGCGTGCGGGCTCGCACGGCGGCGCTCACTGCACCCCCCCCCCCACACACACACACACACCCCAGCCCCAGCTCCCGGCCGATTTTCAGCCGAGGCACGCAGCGGTAGCGGAGAGAACTCCCAAGTTCCCAGCCTCCGTTCACCCACTCTCCCCGCAAGCGCGGCCATCCTCAGCCTCCCAGCTGGTGCTCGCGCCACCCGCAGGGGCAGCCAGCAGGCCTCGGACTGCAGCGGAGCTCCGCTGCGGGCCCCCGCTCCCCAGCTCTTCGGGAACCTCGCGGCCGGCGTTCGCGTGCTCGCTCATCGATTGGCACTGCCTTACTCCTGGGGCTCCAGGCGCGGAGGACCCGGCCCCGAGACTGGGAAAGCCCGGCGGAGCGCGGGGCGGGCTCCAAGGCAGGCGGGCCAGGTGATTGCCGATCGCACGGATGAGCGCGGCTCCCGGCTCGCGCTCCGTCTGGCGGGTGGCGGCGCCGGCTAGCCTGTGCGGTGCGAGGCCGGAGTCGCGCTTCCGCCGCCCCCTCGCCTCGCGCCTGGGCGCGCTCGGCCTCCCGCTGTCCCCGGGAGGGCCGCCCCGCGTAGGGCTCTCGCGCCGCCCGGGGTGGGAGCCGGCGCGCTGCTGAGGGAGGGCCCGAGGGAGGGAGCGCGGGCGGCGGCGGCGGCGGCGGCGGCGGCCCCTCCCCTCCCCCTCCCGCCGCCGCGGAGCGCGCAGGGAGCAGCCGGGGGCTCGGTGGCGGCGGCGTCTGGCCCCGGCTCCTCCTCCTCCTCCATCTCCTCCTCGCTCCCTCCATCTGCCGTGGTTATGGCCCGTCGCTGGAGCACAAAAGCGTCTCCGCGGTGGAGGTCTGCGTTGGTCTTGCTTTTCCTCTCCGGAGTGTACGGTGAGTGTCCGCGCCCCTGCGCCCCTGCGCCCCGCTGACCGAACAAAGCTGGGGCGACCCTGGGCCCCGAGGCCTCCAGGACGGGGAGAGCCCCCCGCCGCCGGCGGGACAAAGAGCCGGCGAGGGGTGGATGTGCCGAGGGGTGCCCACACGCGCAGATGCTTTCGCCCGCTGCCCGCCTCCAGCCCCTCGGGGCAGTGCGAGAGGGCTCTGGGCGTCCCGGCGGAGGGAGTCCCGGCGCGGGTGCGGGGGGCGCGGGGGGGACGGGGGGGCGGGGGCGGACTTCCCCACCCGGGGGCCTCGCACGCGGAGATGTGGGACTGCGAGAAGGGGGCGGGGGTCGCCCTCGCCGCGGTCGGGACGGTCCTGCCACCCCCGACCCTTCCGGGGTCAGGAAGTTCTCTCCCCAGTGAAATTCCCACCGTGCCAATCCCCCATCTTCTTCCCCACTCCCCGCGGAAGCCGCCTGCTGCTCCCTTCCCACTTGGGAGGCCGAGGCTCTGCTGAGCCCGGGCGTGCTGGATCCCGTCCCTTCCCCAGAAGCAGCACGCGGGAGAAGGCCAGAAAATAGTTTCCAGCCCCACCTCAGACTCTCCCTTAGGGTGTACATGTCTGCCCTGACTCCTGGTTCATTTGTCATTTCATCCATCATTGGCCGCTAATGCTGTCACTGTCGCTTCATTCCAGTCTGCGGATTGCGTTGCACATACTCCTTTGAGGCTAAGGGAAAGCTGAAGCCTGTGTGTGAAGACTAAGCTTTATGTTACATCAGAGTCTGAACTAGAGCTAAATGGAATTAATTAGAAAGAGCATTCATTGCTTGAGACTGGAGTTCCACTTCTGGCTTCATCGTTCTTAGTTTATCAGTGAAACGCATTGAAAAGGTGTTTCGGGGAACACGGTGAACCTTTACTCTTTAGAGTGGCGTTTTTTTGTTTCTTCAGGAGGAAATAATGAGAAGCTATCATTCTTTGGTAAATTTCACTTATAAAACGTCCAAGTCGTCTGCCACAAACACTCATTCCACTGACGGTGTGGTGATGGAGTTAAGGCAACACGTAATTCACCAGCAAGTACTTAACCTCTTTTGAAAGCATTTATCTGTGGAATTGAACGATGGTTACTTTTAAGACCTGAGAAATCACAGTAAATGAATTTAATGAACATAACATTTACGGACAACCAAAAAATAGTTTTTCAGTGTGATTTAAAATGTATTGCTTGCCACCCGACCCAATTAACGTATTATTTTTGTTTGGGGTGGAGAAAGGTTTCATCCACATTCGATGTGGTAATTGCCTGTGGTGTGCTTCTGTGTGATCAGAAAACCCTGTGCATGACTTTTGTGTGTCAGTTGCATCAAGTCGTTGTGATCCCTACTTGCCTGATGACTTGTGGGTTTGGGTCTACACCAGAGATCAATAAGCTATTTTGTTGTTTATTCTAGCCTGAAGGTGGGTATAGCTCTGCTTTAGGTTTGGTGTAATCGCTCAGAAGAAAGAAGAAAGTAGAAAGGCATCTTTAATCTAGGGTGATTAGAAGTGTCCTGCTTTTGTCCTCTACTATAGTCAGAATTTAATCTTAGTGTGGTGTCTGATCAGAATGGATAAATAAATGAGCTCTTTTAGCTCTTTCATTAAAACCTGTGTCATTAGTGTTTGAACTAGAAGTTTTTTTGCCTCCAGGGATAAGAGGCTGTGAACCCTGTAATTTGTCTTGGTACATTCTTTTGTACTTGTACACAAAACGGCTTTCTGGTAGGTGCTTATCAAAGATTTATCTTTTTGGAATTTGTGTTCAGTGAGGAATTGTTAGTAGGCAAAGAATGAAACTCTTTTTCCAACAGTGTGGGACCATGTTATAAAACTAGCAAGTAATTGTGCCAGCATTGATGTCTCAAACCACAGCAAGTTTCAAAGTATAAGAAAAAAGGAGGTAGTGAGCCAGGCAGAACATTAAACTATGTGAGCAGAGATTAAAGGTACCCTTCACCCTGCAACTGGGGAAATTCTCTTTATAGCTGCACTTTTGTCCTCTTCTGTCTCTCCAGCCATATGTGGGTTTATATGAGCTTTAACGATAATACTAATACGGGGGGATGTGCTTCTATAACAGTAGTGGGGTTTGTTTAACTTGAATATGCACTAGTTGTGAGGAATAGTGGATGCATCCAGAGAAATATCCATCACTGCAGGTCTTTAGAATAGATATGATCTGTGATTTAAGAGACTGTGCCTTCCTTATGCATCAAAAAGTGTTTTGTTTTTTAAAGATTTATTTATTTATTCATTCATTCATTCATTCATTCATTCATTCATGACAGAGAGAGAGTGAGGCAGAGACAGACACAGGCAGAGAGAGAAGAAGCAGGCTCCATGCAGAGAGCCCGATATGGGACTCGATCCTGGGCCTCTGGGATCACTCCCTGGCCGAAGGCAGACCTTCAACTGCTGAGCCACCCAGGTGTCCCTGTTATTTATTTATTTATTTATTTATTTATTTATTTATTTATTTATTTATTTATTTATAAAGTGGCTTCAAAAATAATTATAAATCCTTCTTAAAACAGCTGAGTGTTCAGGGTCTCCTAGGTGGCTTAGTCAGTTAAGCTTCAGATTCTTGATTTCAGCTCAGGTTATGATCTCAGTGTTGGGGCATCAAGCCTCACGTTGTGGTCTGTGCTCAGGGAAGAGTCTGCTTGTCCCTCTCCTTCTGCCCCCCCCCAACCCCCACTCTACCCCTACCCCGCCCCCACCCTGGCCACCACCCAGGCTTGGACATGGGTGCCTGTGTGCACATGCATGCACTCTCCCTCTCTCCCTCTGTCTCAAATAAATTAAATTAAAAAACAACAACTGAGTGTTCATAGTAACCCTTAGCATAGACTGTGGAAAAAAACAGGTTGGCCAATATTTAGGCAGTTCTAATTCTAAGTCTTCACAGAATGACTCTTACCCATTAATGGCAATATTAAATGGCTCCAAGTTGCATCTTGAATCTTTGAAACATTTCATACATCTTTTTAAAAGATTCTGTTTATTTTGTTGTTTATTCTCTTCATATGGCCATTTTAGTGGTCTATGTATGTGACTATTAAATTTGAGCATTTTAGCGGAATAGTGTGACTTACTATGTTACTTTTCTGAATGTTAAAGCTTTATTTGAAACGCTAAATTGTGATAGGAAATATAGTTAATGTTTTCTAGAAGTAGTTATTTAAAAACCAGTAATTATCGGGCAGCCCCCGTGGCACAGCAGTTTAGCGCCGCCTGCAGCCTGGGGTGTGATCCTGAAGACCTGGGATCGAGTACCACGTCAGGCTCCCTGCATGGAGCCTGCTTCTCCCTCTGCCTGTGTCTCTGCCTCTCTCTCTCTCTCTCTCTCTCTCTCTCTCTATGAATGAGATAAAAAATCTTACAAAAAAATAAAAATAAATAAAAACCAATAATTATCTTTAGAGAGCTGCTGTATCTTAGCTATTGTAACTATTGCCTAAGAGTTAGAAAGTAAAAGTTGACCTCTGCTTCTGGAAGTTTGAAGGGATAAAAACATTAGTGGGAGCGACTGTGAGCTTTGCTGGGCATTGTTTTAGGCGTACTGTAAGAGAAGGTGTTTCTTCAGATCTCACATAAAGATGTCTGGTTTTTGCAAGTGCATGGAGGTTTCCGAAACTGTCTCCTAGTCAACAGAAGCTGTTGGTTGGCTCATCTCCCAAGCCATAATTTGGTAATCGTAATGGTTCCATTGCTTTATCCTTTTCCACTTCTGTTTGTGTCCCAGATCACTGCTTTCTAACTTTTTTTTTTAACTGAAACCCAACCTTAAAATACATTTTATGTTACTCCCTGTATACAGAACAAAACAAAGATTGTGAAATAATACTCTTACTACTTGTGATGCACTCCAACATGTTATCTTCTGTTTATCCCCCATTCTCTCACCCTTCCTTTCTTCATTTGCTGGTTGGACTCATTAATTTTGGACCTAGATTGAAATTCTTAGTTTGAAAAATACAGCCCTAGATGAGACCTTAACATGTAATTTCAAATGTTTGTGATATTTGTAGATCATTTTACAATAGCCTTGGAGAGATGCAGATGGTTAGTTTCTGGCTACTTACTGCCAGAGCATTTGATAGCAGTAAGAACTCTTCCTGGCATCCACTGACTGTCCTGTGATAAAATTCTTCTTTAAACTGGTTTTCAGCTAATTATAGTCAAAAGTCTTTGCTATACACAGTACTGTTCTAGAGGTTGTAGTAACATAAAATATTCTCTTTATCCTTGCATTTTATATATAATGGGTAAGTATTTTCTCATGAATTTTATGGAACATTCAGTAGCATTTTATAAATTTCCAGTTTAAGGATAGACTAGAAGTTCCAATTTTAGAAAGGTTGTAGAAATAACTGGAACATGAGGAAAAAATCTAAACCAGATTCCAATTACTTCTAAAAAAAGTCAAGCTTGATTACATAAAATATGTTGAATAAAACTGAATTAATTGCTTAACATAAACCCTTCCTTGGGTTTAGAATCTAAATTATCCTGGGGAGAATATGAAGGTACACAGACATTCCATAAAATTCTAAATGGTTATCAGACCATTTAGACCATCAGTATTTAAATGACTACTTTCTGAGGCTAGCCATATTCTAAGAATATGGAAGAGAGGGATCCCTGGGTGGCGCAGTGGTTTAGCGCCTGCCTTTGGCTCAGGGCGCGATCCTGGAGACCCGGTATCGCATCCCACGTCGGGCTCCCGGTGCATGGAGCCTGCTTCTCCCTCTGCCTATGTCTCTGCCTCTCTCTCTCTCTCTCTCTCTCTTTCTCTCTCTCTCTCTGTGTGTGTGACTATCATAAATAAATAAAAATTTTTAAAAAAGAATATGGAAGAGATTTGAATGATATATGGTAAATGATTTAGAAGATTCCTAGAAAGTAAAATCTCTGACAAAAACATAAAAGTGATGTCAGGCTGAAAAGTGAGCAGCAGTTAGA